CTGATTTGGGCAGGTGGGGTTTGCATCCACTGTTATGGTGAGTTCTGAGATTCTTATTAAAGCTTTGGGAGAAAGAGAACAGGCATTATACCCTCCTTGTTTCACTAATATTTAGACCAAACCAGCGTAAGAAAAATAAAACGCTCCCATTGGATTCAGCCTGACTCACTGGTGTTCTACTTTGGCACAAAATCCTAGCTTGCAGAAAGTACTATATTTCCCATATTGCCATGATAGTGCACACAGGGCCTTTTGAGGAGGAAGTTGGCTAGCCAAGGCAGGGATCAGGGGATCTCAGGGTTCTTGAAGCCCCACCTCAATGTGACTCCTGTCTAAGATCACCCTCTTATTTTCTGGAAAGCTAAGAGCCAAGATGACTTCATTTGTATAGGCTACACAGAGTGCAGGAGTCTAGGCTAAAAATAGGCTTTATTTACTCCTTTTTACCCACATCCAAACCTCGGTCACCAGATAGACAGTTCAGATTACAAGAGGCAAAGGAAAACAAACCTCACAAAAATTACACCAAGGGAAAAAGATATTTTATACTCTTAAATCCAGAGCACAGCAGGTATCAGCTAGGACGGTCCATACCCTGGCATCTCTGGGGGCTACAGGGAAGATTTCTCAAAGAGCAGTCTTTGCAACTCATTCCATATTTATTTATTGAGTATCTTTTGAACACTAGGAATTATCACAGTGAAAACATACATGGTACATGTCTTAATAGAATATACCCTAACCTGTCTGCATGGTTATAACAAAAAATAAAGAGTCCAGAGAGAAAAGAGAAATTCTTACTCTAGTGTGTTGTTTCAAATAGAAAGGATTTTTTTCAAGCAGAAATCACAATGATGAATGTACCTTAAAGGATTTAACTTATTCACATGGCAAAATGACAGGAGGAAAGCCTGCTAGAGGCTTCCACCCAAGATCTGCTTATTCAAAACACAGAGCCAAAGAAAGACAATCTTTCTCTTGTAGAACCTGCACTGATACTTCCCAGAACCTCGAGTGAGATAGCTTTAGGAGGAATCCAGAACTCTGCAAAGCAGAGAGAAGAAACAAATAATCCAAGACCTGGCTGACATTCCTGCTTCAGGGGATTAAGTGATTCTGAAGCCTGTACTCCTTATGGGTTTCCTTTTATGTGAGATCCTAAAGTATTTGCACTAGTGTTGGAGGGGTTTCTATTTTTCCCCCTACAAATATTTTTGTGGACTTAGAAATTGATTAGGAGTGGTTGCAGTCAGAAGCCCCAGGGTATTGAAAGGTATCTGAAATGGGTTATTTAGTCATCTGAGCTTGAAGGCAGTGTGGCATCTAGATAGTAATAAGGTATGGAAATGTGTTTGCTCATGGCATGCAGTGGTAAACAGCTAAACCAGATACAATCAGAAGTATCCATCAAAGGCAAGGAGGTGAGGAGCTGAGCTGCCGTTGCCAAGAAATAGCATTTATGTTATGGGTTTGATAGCTGATTCTATGGACAATTAAAATATTAAAGATTAAAAACAGAAAATGATTAGCCAGTTTTTAAAACTCTCAAGGTATAGACTAAATCCAAGGGGCTTCCCAGGACTGCTAGATAATTTCTTTTCATGAGCGGAACTAAAATAGCTAAATAGCAAATGTGCTATATATTTCTTCAGATTGTGAGTTTCCACACCAGTTGACTTTACAACCTTAGCAGAATCTTGTGAGACAGTTAGGGCTACAGCTATTAATAATGAAACTTCTGGCATTGGAACTGGATTATCTAGTATGACTTCTAAGTAAAGGAAAGGGATCTAACTCCAATTATCTTTCCATATCAGAGAGTTTGTTCCTGCCTTGTTTAAAGACTCAGAATCTCATTGCTTGGAAGGAATTACATTTCAGTGGAAGGAATTACATTTTATCACCACCCTGATACCTAAATCTACAACTAAATTAGTCTCTTTACACTGGGACAGAGAAAGGGAGATTACAAAGCCATAGGATGTAATTTTCCCACCCAAAGAATTGGAGCAATTTTCAAATTCATATCAGGAAAAATCTGGGGACTATGTCTGTGCTTGCTTGAGTAAGGACAGAAAGTCCAGTTTTAGACTGGGCTGAATTTCTCTATATAAATGCCAGAATTCTGGATTCGGTGGAACTTCAACAGCTGGAAATAATGATAATTGTTTCATTGAGTGACTAAAGTTAGGTCTTGGGTGGCTATTGCTAAATTAAACTGAGAGGGCAGAAAAATTCGGGAATAACTAAGTAAAGAAACCCAAAGATATTGGGATGTAAAATATGTTGGAGCAAATTTAACATGTGTGGCTGGCTTCTCTCCACCTCACGTTGACCCAGAGAGGGCTTTGACGAGAGAGCATTATTCAGAGCCTTCTGAGAGCTATGCCAGCAGGTCAGATATCTTTCCTGGCTGTGTTCATGCCACAGCTGACAGAAGATGATGTTGAAATGGAAAGGACTCCTTGACTTCGGTGGGTAAGGGAAGCTCCCGGGGTGAGGGAAGTCACGAGGTCACACTTAATCACCAAAAGCGTGATGGATGCAGTTACTGCAGTAGGCGTCCTCCACCGTGTGGCAGTCAGTGTCTCCAAGATCAGTATGGTGGCTGGAAAACTTGGGGTTCCTAGGGTGGAGACAGATGGCGAGCCCATTAAGGTCCTACTTGATTTGTGGCTCTGAGCAAGGATAGGTCAGCTGAACAGAGGTCCGTCTCAGACACAGGGGTGATGGCAATCCTTCCTTTGATTTGTACCCTCAGAGCCCTTTGACTGAAGGAAGAGTCAGGAATACATGAGAAGATCTGTGCAACAGCAACCCAATGATATTCTCTGAATCTCCTTATTAGCATTCCTCAAAGGACTCTGAAGTCATTTTAAGAATAACCATAAAAACAAACAAATGAATATAACAAAACAGAAACAGACTCTAGAAAACAAACCAGTGGTTACCAGTGAGGAGATGGCTTGGGGACGGGGCAAGAGTGGGGAAGGGCGCTGAGAGGAACAAACCACTCGGTGCAAAATAAATAAGTTATTAGGATGGAATGTACAGCACAAGACATATAGACAACATTTTATAATAATTTTAAATGGAGTATAATCTATAAAAACATGAAATCATTCTATGTACACCTGAAACTAATATAATATTGTAAATCAACTGTTTCAAAAAAATTAAAAAAAAAAAAAGAATGACCATAAAATGGAAGAGGGAGATTCCCAGATCGTCATGATCAAAAGATAAGTATGATCCAGTTAACTCTGATTCCCTGCAGGCAAGTCTCCTTGAACTGTGATGATTCCTATTGTAAAGTTGGATGAAACTACCATGTATTTCTTAGGGTTGTTAGAAAGTCAGATGGATTAATAGATGTAAAGTTCTCAAAATGGTGTCTGGACAGTAGTAAAAGTCATATAAGTTTTTGTGATTAATATAATTGTTAGAACTGGCTAAGTGAAAGTTTCCAGAGGTCTTTCCTACCCACAATAGGAATAAATCAAAGGCAGTACCCCCAACCTGTTAGAATTATGGAAATCTGCAATATTTATCAAAGGCTTGATAGATGTAGGAGTGGAGATTACATCACTTTCATGGTTAGCTGTCCAGTTTGACTAGTGAAAAAGACAGACTGATTTCAGAGAATGACAATAGATTATCAGATGTTTAATTAAGTGGGGATTCAACATTGTAATTTCATATGTGGTGAGGTCTCTTCATTGGAACACATAAATATAGTCCTTCCTAACCACCCAATGATTTAACAGATTTTTTTTTGTCTATCCCCCAAAGCAGTAAATGCAGAAATTTGTTTTCATGTGACTGAGACAGCCATACATCTTCACTGTCTCTCCACAGGGTTATATCAACTGTCTAGTTCTGCGTCTCAAGTTATTCTGCAGGGATGAGTAATTACCTCATCAATGTCTGGACATCACACTGCCCACTACCATATCATGTGGATAGAATGCCAAGCAGGGTCCCTATTATCTTGGTAAGATGAAGGGCATAAGTGCCATAGCCTGGAAAATAAATACCACAGAAGTACAGGGACCTTCCACTTCCATATGATTTAGGAGTGTCCTACAATCTAAAGTATTTGCTCTTCCAAAACAAAAAAATAAAAAGCAACTCTTTGGTTTTGAAAAAAAAATAATAAATTGCAAATCTGTGAACTGCACTGACCCATATGCAGTGGCCCAAAATAATAGCCAGTTTGACCCAAAGAACAAGGATACTCTCCCACTGATGCAATGCAAGTGACTCTTACTTTTGGTCTTAATGGTTCAGTGGATCCTATGGATGCTGAATAGACCTTGTAAAGATAGACATAGCAGGGGCTCTGATGATTTGGGAGAAAAATCATGGCTTCTCTATAAGTAAAAATTATGGCTTCTCTTTAAGTAAACAGACTTGCCACTGAGCCCTAGAAGACTATGAAGCCTGAAGGTAAGATCTCTTGTGACTGTTAGATCTTGGGCTGCTCGGTATCAGCTGAATGTTGTCTGATTGTATCATAAATTTTGGTATTCATCGTGGTTAAGTTTTATACTTAGTAAATATGTGAACCTGGACAAGTTTCCTTTTTGTACTTTTGTTTCCAAATTAGCCAGAGGTTAATGATAGTAAATAACTGACAATGGTTTGATAGGATTAAATGCATCAGCAAGTAGACTACTTATAATACTGTCTGGCAAATAGTAGGGGTTTATTCAGGGTTAACTATTGTGGTTCTTGTTCTCCTTTGAGGACTAGGACCTGTAACCCCATAGAGCCTAGAGGTGTAAGGTTGGGTCATTTGGCTACTTGTTATTCCTGCACCCAAACCAATGTACTTTTCCTATTGGGGACCAAAGCATCCCACACAGTGATACAGTGAAGTTGCTCAGTCGTGTCCGACTCTTTGTGATCCCATGGACTGTAGCCTACCAGGCTCCTCCATTCATGGGATTTTCCAAGCAAGAGTTCTGGAGTGGGTTGCCATTTCCTTCTCCAGGGGATCATTCCAACCCAGGAATTGAACCCTGGTCTCCCACACTGCAGGCGGATACTTTTCCGTCTGAGCCACCAGGAAAGCATCCCATACAACTTTCTAATTCAGTGTACAGCATGTGCTCTGGGAGAATGCACCCCATCTTCAGAGTATTGCTTCTGAGCCAGTGCTTTACTTTGCCTTTGTATGCTAATTCCAGGATACTCATTCTCCCAGAATATGTCAGAGCAGTAATCCTAGGTCTGGAATGAGCTGTCTCCATACCTCTCCATGAGTCAAATCCCATTAACTGTACTCTGATACTCTGATCTTGCTGGTCATGATCATTGTGAACCCTGCCCGCCCCCCCATCCCAGTTCTGATGTTTAAATGAAGTAACTAGCTTCAGTGCTTCAGGCCTAATATCTTCGTTGCCATCAGGGAGGAAAGTGCTATGACAGCTTCTCTTACCCTCTGCCCTGGTCTGCATATGACAGTCACCACTGACTTTTAGTGACACCAGTGCCCTCTTACCAGCTAATTCATAAGCCTGAGTCTCCAATGTCCCCTGAGTCTTTCTGTGGAAGGGAAAAAAATCTGAATGGTCTTTTGGCCTCACAAGAATATTACTTCTCTAAGCCATTTAATCAATTCTCTACAATTGGCCATAGCAATTTGGGAATTTCAATTCTGTTCAACATGGATCATTGCTTTCTCCATGCTGCTAGAAGCCATCCCTACATACTTCCCTGGGGTCTGTGGCAGGGTGTGAAGTCCTGTGTCACAAGAGAACACTCAAAGTCAATAAACTCTCCTTGGTCATGTCTTATTTTCCAGTCCTCTGGCTCAGGAAACCTCCCATTGCAATCCCTCCTGCCATCCTGGATGGTCATGTCCACTAATTCCTGTGGTTTCTCTGTGGCCTCAGCCTGTATTTCTCTAGCAGATTAATAAGTCCCTGTCTGGGTGATGCTGTGACTTAACTACGGCTAAGGTCAGGCAGCCACAGGGAGTGGGGGACACATTCTGAGACAAGCCCTGTCGGTTGAGAGGAGAGTGCTGCACTGTCCTCCTTATTGAGTGTGGCCCATTCTGGATGGCGGGCCAGAGGGGTTCATCTCTGCGGGCTCTGAGGTTCAAAAGAGTCTGGGTGCCCTGGGCAGGGAGGCTACGCATACATGGAAACTCTCTGTACTTTCCATTCAATTTTGCTGTGAACCTAGTACTCTAAAAACAAATAAAAAAAGGTGTGTGAATAAAAATTTTTTAAATTCTGAGGAAACAATATATCTCAAGAGGGATCTACTCAGATATCCTCATCTCAGGGCCCTGAGTTTGGTGTAATATACTTGCTTCAGAAGAACTTTCCATGGTCTCTGAAGATCAGGGACAATAGTTTAAATCCTCAGTTTTGCCTTAAGCTTTTCTTGTCTCCTCCCAAGAGAGGAAATTTGCCTTATTTAGGCTACCAAGGAAGTGTTCTGCTCTTCACATTTGCTTTTCAATTATTTGTTCAATACTATTAGCTTTTCATCAGGAAGGAAAGTGCCATGACTTAATCACAGCTCACTAAGTCTGCGGTCGTATGCACTGTTTTCATCAATCAGGACAATTCCTTCGAAAAGAAGTGGCTCCCAAGTCACCAGCTATTAACTTCTAAGCAGCTGGGCTGCCTCCTTGTGCCAAGGCCTAGTCTTGGCTCACAGAACGACGGAGATGCTGTCCTTAGTCCCAAAAGGTGGCCAGTGAGCCAGTCCTGGGATCGTGTCTTTCCTTCTGGCTTTCTCGAACTACTGTTGGAGTCAGCTGAATTCTCTGGGAAGCAGACATTGGGATGGAGACAGGACTGCAGAAAAGTTGTGCAAAAAAAAAAAAAAAGGAGGAAGTCGGATTGCACAAGCAGAGCTGTCAGGCTAGGATGCAGAAGCTGCGGACCTGATGCTATCTTTGCCAGGCTGTGGGCAGCTCCAGAGCGAGGTCCCTGTGGTGGAGAGGCTCTGAACTGGGAGGAAGTGGCCAGGCCTTGGCAATTCAGCCTTGCTCGTCATCGTCCTTCTGGAAACTGTGACCTTGGCTCTGAAACTGTTGGCTGACCACCCACCTCAGACTGAATTCTGTACAGAGAAAGGATTTGAGCCAGGCAGTTCTACTTCATCCACACATGTTTACAATGAATTCAGGTAGGATAGTCCCTCTGTTCTGCAGTTTTCACTTTCGGAGGCTTCCCTGGTGGTAAGTTTCAAATCCCACGTGGTTGAGCACCGCTAGGAAATCTCTGGAGGTCAGCTGCCTGGGTTGCGGGAATCACTGCTGTGTCCAGCAAACCCCGCCATTGGTCACCGAGGGGCCGCTGTGTTATCAGAGCCAGGGTCTCAATATCGCGATACCGGTGTTCACATGACCTTTGCCTTAATGGCGACGGCAAAATAAGTGGAGTGGTGCTGGCAATTCAGAGATGCCCAAGAGAAGCCTGAAAGTGCTTTCTTTCTGTAAAAAGGAGAAAGTCAGCAAGTAATACAGAAAGAAAGAAATGGTAGGCTGAGGTTGCTGAGATCTGTAGTTAAGAATAACCTTCCAATCTGTGAAACTGCGAAGAAAAGAGAAGCTCTTGCTAGTTTTGTTGTGTTGCCTCAGACTTCAAGTATGTAAGTGCATAGTTAAGATGGATGTTAGGTAAGATGTTAAACTTACCCAATAAGATATTTTGAGAGAGAGAGACTGTAAGTGCAGTGAGCCCAGCGGGAAACTGGCAGCCATTGCTGAGTGTCATTTCGCCATACCCTGTTGCCAGGCAATGGGTATTGCTCAGTCATTGGTCAGCGTCATAGTGGGCCTTGCCCACAAGCAAATAACGGTCAAGAAAGGGCAGTTAATGAGAGGGTTCAGACAACAATGGAATGGTGGTCCTGAGGTGGAGAGTGAGGTAAGAGTTGGATCCTGGCCTTCTCCCTCAGGCCCTCCAGCTCACCCAGCCTCGTGAACTGGGGGACCCAGAAACTGCTGGGGGTCTGTGCCCTGCAGGGCTCCAGAGCCCTCACCAAGGCCACCATTAGCTTTGCCCTGGGCCTTGAGGCTGTGGTGAGCCTTTCCCCCATCCCTGTCTCTGCGACCTAATAGCAGCAGCAGTCTGTCTGGGTCTCCATCTGTGGGACCTGGTCTCCTCTGCTTTGGGTGGCCTGAGGAGCCTGACGGCCAGTTGGGTCCTTGTTGCTCAGCTCCGTCAGAGGTGACGCCTGGGCAAGGTGTGGGGGACCTGGCCCTGAGGGAGCCCCCAGCTGAGCTTTGCCTTCCTCTTAGCCAGAACAGGGACCTCAGAGGGTGACAGTTGTACCTTGGGTCCTCGCCCTTTCTTGTTGGGACAGAAAATAATATTCATTTGGTAGAGAGTTATAGGAACATTTTTGCCTGACCATGACCTGACTTCAAAGACTCTGACACCAAGCAGTTTGCAACAACTGCACCCCTTCCCACCTTTTGCTTTGAAAAGGGTTTTGATGAGAGCTTTCAGTAACTTTGGGCTTCTTAGGGCACGAGCCACCATGTACTTGCATAGTCCTGTAATAAACCTTTCTCTGTTCCAAATGCCAATGTTTTAGTATTGTTTGGCCTTACTGTGCATCACATATGTGGACTGGCATAGTCAGTGACAAGACCACATTCTTTAAACTTTTGTTACAGTATATTATTATAATTGTTCAATTTTATTATTGATGTTAAACTCGTACCTTGCCCAACTGATAAATCAAACGTTGTCATAGTTATGTGTGTATAGGAAGAAACATATATGGTGTTTGGTACTGCTGTCATTTCAGGCATCTACTAAGGGTCTTGGATGGTATCCCTCACAGATAAGGGGGAACTACTGTGGTTACATACATTTATGAGGTTTATTTATGATTTTCATAATGGAACCAGAACATTTCTTCCTCGGCAGGAGAACTTTCCAAGATTATTTGCTTTAAAATAGTTCATTTCAGAATCAGTGTCTTTATGAGAGACAGAGAACAATGTGAATCCACTTTACAATGAAACTTCATTTGTTTCATTTAATGACTATTCTTTATCATATAGTTGAGATCAAATTAGAGATCTTATCTGGAAGATATTCAGAGTAACATTGAGAATTATTCTGCTTTTCACATGTATTTTTAAAAGTACTTATATAAACATCTCATTTGGTTCAGACAATAACCCTAATCTGTCAAGTGGGCAGAGCAGCATCACAAATTCTCTTGGTCAAATTTTATTATTATTTATTCCATAAATTCTAAGAGATTTTCATGTTACCAAAAAACTTAAATCCAAGGACCACTAAATTAAAAACTGAAATACCAGCATATTCTTAATAACTACTTACTTCAGTTTTTGTTGTGACTTTAAGTTCATATGAATCTGATGAATTTAAAAGCTAAGTTATCGCAGTCCCAAGATGGCAGAAGAATAGGATAGGGATCACTTACTCATCAAAAGATCGTTGAATCCTGAGCAACTTCCACAAAACAACTTCTGAATGCTGGTGGAGGACACCAGGTACCAAGAAAGGCGGCCCATTGCATCCCATTCCCTTCAAAAGGAGGTAGGACAAAATATAAAAGACAAAAGAGTTAGGGACAGAGACCCATCCTGGGGAGGGAGTTGTGAAGGAGAAGTTTCCAAACAGTAGGAAACCCTCTCACAGGTGGGTCTGTGGGGAGTTATGGAATCTCAGAGGGCAACATAACTGGGAGGAAAAAAAAAAACCCACAGAATAGGTGCCTAACTTCAATTCCCAATTCTTGAAGTAGCCCAAATGGTTCCCTCTGCCACCAGCGAGCAGGGGCTGGACAGGGAAGTGTGAGTGGCATCATTGGTTCTTAGGGTAAGGACTGGGCCTGAATGCCCTGAGGACAATCTGAGGGAGTTAATGTGAGACAGCAACCCGAACTGTGGGATCTGGGATCGCCAGAGAGGAAAAAAATAAGAGAATTTTCCCATGAAAGGCTCTAAGGTGGAGCCTAGCCTGCTCACAGAACAAAGGATTGAGCTAGCTGGCTGCATACAGGCCCCTCCCTACGCTGGAGGCAGAGAGGCAGGCAGGCGACAGCCAGAGCTGGAAGGTGAGGGGCAATCTCAGCCCCAGAGATGGGCATCCTCCACTGTGGGTAGCTACTGTGGGTAGCTCCCAGTTGCTAACCATGTCTTCCTGGGATCCTGGATGGTTGACATCGTCAGGAGGAGATCAACTCCCCAGAGGAGACACACGGCACATCTGAGACGGTGCTCTTGAAGCTCACCCGGGAAACCTAGTGGCCAGGACCTGGAAGGGGATTAAGACCCATGGCCCACCTGGGACAGTGTGCTCGCCAAGCACCTGGTTGCCTGAGCTGCTCAGAACTGGGAAGAGCACAAAACACATGCCCAACCCAGTCTGTGCCCTTGCAGAGAACCCGAGAACCTGAACCTGAACAGCTTAGACCTGGGAAGTGCATGAAACACAGGGTCTGCTTTGGA